ATTTTGGTCCTTACAATTACACATCATATTTATAATAATTTTAAATATTTATTATTTATCATTTTAATCCTTAAAATTATTATTTCATAAATAATTCAAAATTATTTTTATAAATTTAATTTTTCTATTTAAAAAAAGCATCAAGATAATCTTTAAAATATTTTAAAACTAGAAATAGACAACAAAAATATTACATGATATAATGTGGTATTTTGTTTGTACTTTAATATTTAATTATATATTTATATTTATAGTTTTATATTTTAGTGTAACATTTTATCAAATGATATTTCTATAATATTTTACATGATAGTTATTTATAAAAGTTTATGGATTTGAATTAGTTATGACAAATATAAGGACCATTATATAAAATACAAATAGTTTTAAAGTTAGGTTTGAAGTTTTGCTTTTGGAGTATAACACCTTCAAACTTCAAATATAGAGTTTGCAAAACTCTATAATAGAGAGTCTTTTTGGAGATGCTCTGACGTTGTTAATGACGGTATATTCTTTTAATTCAGTAACCATGGTTAAAAGGAGATATATAATTTGTCAATTGTAGACCCTGATTTGATAAATAAAAAAAAATGATGTTCAAAACAAAAAAAAAAAAATAGATAGAAGACTGAGTTTACAAACTATATTCTCCTTAGATAGTTTAGAAACCAACAAAAGCACATACTAGAATTGAGTTTACACATTAAACAAAGGGAAGACGTAGATTTTGCAAACAAACAATGAAAGCGCTTCCTACTTGTGTGGCTTTGGACCATGGGAAGAGCTTCTTTCAACCTCTCTTATTGTAGTACCAAAACATTCAAAAACACGGTCAGAGAAAGGGCACATGTACACTCCTACACCTCTTGGCACTGTTAACTTATGTGCTTGTCCTCTTCCTGGAGGTCGTGACGGCTACGTCCACGACCAGTAGGCACAGTAGATGATGGTGGCTGAGACTGAGACTGTGCCCGTGTTATTGGTTGAGAAGCAGTGCTTGAAGGCTGAATTGAAGTCTCCGATGGATTCAGAGTAGATTATGGATTCGAAGGCTGTGATAGACTAGTTTTGTGCCTTTTTGGTGGGTTAATGCATCCATCAACATGTTATGGTAAAACTTACAATATTTTCAAAGTGTCTCCCAAACAAACAACACAAAAAAATAGAGGAACTGTTAATCTTACTTGTATCTTACGAGGTCTTCCACGTCTACATGCTGAGCCTTGGACAACAAAAGCATCTGATTTACATGTTCCACGGTTGTGTTCAGTCTTCTCACAGTTCCCACACGTTATCGTCCTACCATCTCGTGTCATTCTATTTTGTTTGAAGGAGATTCATGTACTGCTTTTATCCTCTTTTTCTTTGGTCTCCCTGGCATCTTCCTAAAACCCGGAACTCATATTGGGTTTTTACCCGTTTTTGCACAAAATATTTCTCCATTAACTGGTTTGATGTTGTCGCTGTAGTTTTCTATCCACACATCAGTCTTGTAATAGGGATCCACTTGGCTGCATATAAAGGAATTTGATGACATTGTTATTAGTGTAACAATCAAACTAAGCAATTGATCCTTGATGATATGTTACTTACTTCTCTGACTGTTGGTCGTTGTCACTGATGACACATATCGCATGAGGGCAAGGTATCCCATTCACGACAAGCACAATGGCGGAGACGAAGACTGACCTCATACCCACAATTGTACAAAAGTACTTCGAACAAGTTGTCTGAACTTATAAGTATAGTACTATCCTTGCTCTTTTTTTTACTTAATTCCAGAACATCTGGGACCTTTTCCAGGAAAGGTAATATGCAAGCTCTTGCTTTCTTAAGTCTCAGAGAAATATGCATCATAACATGTCTCCTAATGCTTTCCAGTATGTTAATCAAAGGTAGTTCTATTGTTCCATTGATTTTTTTTTTGAAACTCTCAGATAAATTGTTACAAACCTGAGCTGACCTAGCATTTCTCGAGAAGAAAGAAAGACACCAAGTTGTAGGATCAGCTGCCAACAAATCATCATGTGCATCGACATCATATGCTTTGAGTGCTTCAATGTGCAAATCATACTCTCCCTTTGTTTTGATGTAAGCCACATTCCAAAAAAAAAAAGGTTTGTAATCAAGATCTCCATATTTAGTTTTTCAGTTACCGTAGACATGCTTAGCACAGTTTATGTGGTTAGCGTTTGGAAGAACAGTAGCAAGAGCCACTTTTAAACCATGAATATAACATGAAATACAGACTATATTAGACCTTATATTCCATATGTTTAAAGAGATAACTGTTAATAAACATACCTTCTGTTGGTCAGAAATAAAAGTAACTCCATCTTCTACACCCAAGATTAAGTCAGCTGGCAACTTCTTCATGAACCATTCCCAAGAATCCTTATTCTCACCTCGTACAACAGCCCAAGCAATTGGATAAATCATGTTTTCCGCAGCATTGTTGATTATATTTCTCCGTCCGACTCCCACTTTAAGAAGGCACCATCAAGGCCTATCAAAGGCCTACAACTTTTCTTTCAAATTCTCCTTAGTGGTTCAAAGTAGATATAGAAGCTTTCAAATATATTTGTTTCTTCCTTTTTGACAATCACAATCTCTGTAGTCACATTATTATTACTTCTTACTAACTCAGCTTCATAGCTTCATAGCTTTCCAAACTGGAGTTTATGTGTATCTAACACCATATCTATGCTGGCAATTATATATGGAAACTGATATGTTGTACATGTGCATCAACTCGTCTTTGATATCAGAGCTTCTGATAGCAGGTCTTCGTATTGCCTATTCTTTGAACAATCGTGCAATAGTTCCCTGCTGAAGCATCCTTGCTCTTCATGTTGGCAAATGATTATGATTGTCCTCATATACTTTGACCATCCATTTCTTTATAGGCTTCTCCAACGAGCAATATATTCTCCATTTGCACTTTTCATGTGTACATATTGCTACATACTTTGTTGGTTGCCACTTATTCAGCTTCACATCATATGAGTTTTCAACACATACCTCAGTAATTGATCCTTGAACTCTTCCATATTTGTGAATGTTTGCATCAACCATAAGTTAGGAGGCTTATTGTAGCTCGTATGCATGATGGATAGAGATATAGCTAAGATGAGAATCGATACAATGAAACCCGACGTCTGAGCGTGACGTCGCCCACATCAAAGTGACATCGCCCGATCAACGCAATGATTATGGTTTTTACAGACGTTTCCTAAACGGTAACATTGATTATGGAGTAATGTCGACCGATGACGCTCCGTTTCCCACATCATTGCGTCAAACAGATCACTATCATGTAGCTCGTATGCATGATGGATAGCATGTCCTTCCCTAGTTTTATATCACTGGATCGACATCATACCAAAACTGGGTCCAACACTTATCATAATCAGTCTTGCTTTTTCCTTTAAACCTTCTTCCACAGTCATCCTTCTTCTGCCAAGTTTGCCATTGTTCATCAGTGTATTCAGGAGAATCTGGATATTCACCAGCGAGTATTGGTTTCTCAGTTTCGACTTCACTATCAGCTGCTTCTCCATCGTCAATATTCACTGCAGGAGATGCTTCAAGAACGACTATTGGTGTCTCAGTTTCCGCTGATTCAAAAAAAGTTTCCAAACCGTGGGTCAGGAGCTCCTTCAGCTAAAATTTCACACTCGTCCTCTGATTATACTCCACCTTCTTCCTCTTGTTGAAAGTTTTCCTCTATTTCTTCTTCATCAGTTTCTGCTCCAGGGTTATAACCATCACTTTCTTCTTCTTATCTATCCTCAGCGTCACTATTTCTTCATCATCAGCCTTCTCACCATCGTCCAGATAATCTTATATGGATTTGTTATCAGTTACCAGATTCACACTTTCAACCACTTTTGGTGGAGACTCATGTTCGATGTATATGTAAACCTCTCCATTGTCTTTTGTTTCTAAAGCCATCTTCATAATCTCACTATCTTTGTCCTCCCATATCGATTTCACCATTGACATGTCTTCATTAGATAGTCTATATCACACCTTCTTCACAACTCACACAATTTCACAACGTAGCATATTTTGTCTCCTGCCATCGACATTAGACCTCCGTAATGAATGTGTAGCTTCAGCATATCATCATTGTCACTGTGAAACCTGAAAAAAACTCGTCACACAGCATAAACCAAGACAAGAACTCACCTCCGTAATGAATTTGACCTCATCTATTTTCTTTTTTTTTTGTGTGAGAAATTACTTGAACACTTTTGATTTGGTGTTCAACGGAGATTTTCAGAATTTAAGGTTTGAAGTCAATTTGGGAATATTGGTCTTTTTCATCAATAGGTTATGGGTCGGGTTTGGGTTAAGAAATTAATTGGGTTTGGGTAAACTGGATTCAGTTAATCTATGTACAGTTAAGTTTAACTATTGGTTAAATATAAGATGGAATCAAGATGCCGTTCACCTTTTCCGTAACTTTTGTTTCGTATACTATATAAAATAAGTATACTTAGATGGAATCAAGATGCCGTTCACCTTTTCCGTAACTTTTGTTTCGTATACTATATAAAATAAGTATACGGTTCATACTTAGAGGTATTAATCTGGGCAGATATAGGCCTGTTCGTTTTGTTAACGCTGAGATCAGCGGCAGCGTCTCGAAACTATAGCTATGGCGATGACAAATACAGCACAAGCAAGACAACACATATTTGGTTGTTTAGCCGCTGTGGCAAGTATATGACGCTGAAAATATCTGCAACAATGGAAACTCTGCTTTCATGTTTCCAATCGTCTACTGCGTCTGCTATTTAATTAGAACAACAATGAATTTGTTGTTCTCGTAGGCATAATTTCTGCCGCTGCCGCTATCGCTGGCGTCTATAAAACCAATAGGCTTTATATAGTTGGAGTATTTAAACGATTAATAAAATTTAGTTCAAGTAATTAAATGGAATTTTCCCTTAATTGAAAAAGTCCTTACAACTTGAAAAGGAGATGGAAGCGTTACATTTATTTTCTTTAAAATTTGTAACATAATTTGCAACACTAAAAAATACTTCACTCTAGCATGGATTATATAAATAACGACTAACAAATATTGAACTAGGAACACGAACACCACCGCTTGTAGTTGTAATCCACTACACTTATTAAACAATGCTAAGTAGTTTCAGAATTTTATTCATCTTTCCCAAACAAAACAAAAAAGTTCTCAACACTGTGCCAACTAAACGAAACGCTCTACAGCTATTAATAATCAAAGGGATCCCTCACAATATGGAACTGAAAACTTCTTAAGCTAAAGTACCAGACTGGTTTTCTGAGGTAACTCAATCTTTGGATCTCTCACACCCCTCCAAAGTAACTGATGCATGCACTGTTGTATTATACGCTCCTCTGCCACTTCAAGTACCTGTCACAAGTTACAAGACAAGCTTACAAATCAGTATAAGACCTTGAGATCATATTCATACACCTTAATGGCAGACATTCCAAACATTAATTACTGTTCGCCTGCATAGCGTATCAGCATATATTCTCGGTAATGGTTTCACAGAATATAACCTTTTTCTGTATGATAACCAAAGACTAACAACACAACTCAGAGCACAATGAAACAAAACACAAGAACTTGTTCCATAAACCAAATTCAATTAGGATCAAAAGCAAGAAGTATGCAAATTATGTCAGCCGAATATTGTATTTGCTCAATGCAGTCTATTCGAAAGAACAAGTCGCAGACTGTACCTTTAGCTTGAGTAATGACTGCAATACCAAATTGGCTGTTTAACTGAACAAGATGTAATGTAGTGCTAAAATAAGGTTTCTTTTGGAGAAAATGACTAGAATAGCATTAAAAAAAGTTTTTATCACAAATGTAGTACTTAAGAATAAAAATGACCAAAATAACATTTAATGTTTTATCAAAAGAGATAAATATACAATTATATCCCGATGATAAATTAATTTAGACATTAGGGTTTAGAGTTGGGTAGGATTTAAGATTTAGATTTAAGGTTTAGAGTTTAGGGTTTAGAATTTAGGTTTTAGGGTTGGAGAGTGAGGTTTTGGGATAGGATTTCAATTTTTGAAAAAAATAAAAAAAATTTAAAATTTTCAAAAGATAAAATGCTTTTTTAGTTTTTGTGGGCTATTTTTGTGACATAAACTTAAACAGATGCTATTTTGGAGATTTCCCTTTCTTTTGTCTATCAAGGGAAAAAAGAATGAATAAAAAGGAAACAGACTCTACTATACAAAGAATGTCCAAGAAACCTACAATGCAGCACAGAAACTAACTGAGTCTACCCCAAATTAAGGACATCAATGCGCAAGAAGCTCCAGAACTTTGTGAAAATTGAAGACAAAAAACATTCAGATAAACAACTACTCACAAAGAGGACTATTAGCGATCTGGACAAGTGCGTCGGAAGGTACCGTTTGGTAGCTCGCAGAAAGCCCGCAAATTAACATTAAGATGAGAGGTGAGTTGAGAAGCAGCCACAACACTGTAGAGAGGCAAGAAAGACTGTGTGCAACCAAGTGCTCCTAGATTCCTGAAGATCACAACAAGACATCAAAATCAGAGATCAGGATACAACGAATCAGAAGTCAAAATGTCGATGCAAAACTTTAAATTCTTCCTGGAATCTATAAGGCGATGAAACTATCTTCTAAAACTGATGAACCGGATTACAGGGAGCTAGGTCAAACCTAGAAGGCGATGAAAAGGAGAAGCGGCGACCAGGTAAAGAGGATTGGGAAGGACGGAGGCGAGGAAGCGCCGCCGTAGGAGAACGGAGAGACGGTGCTCTTGCAGTGGCGGAGACGAATGAACGGGCAGCAGATCCTGCATTGCGCCAAGCCATTTTTGGTGACTGTATGGAGAAATGTGAATCTCACTGATTGGTTTTGCTAGGGTTTACAAGAGGGGAGAAACTAGAAATTCTCGATGATTCTGTAAGTGAGATTTTTGCACTTTTCATTTTGTGGCCCAAGTTTAATCACTAAAGTTCTAGGCCTGATATTACATAAGTGACACAGCCCAAAACAGTAAAACGGCAGATGTGATTGTGTTTAAGGGGAGCCCTGTTCGGCGCGTGAACCAGCAGCGACAGCGATCAAAAATACTGAAGGAATGGTGAAACTATTTTGCTTGTGAAAGTCGCAGCGATCATTTTGTATATAAATTGTGGAACGCTAGATAAAACAGCTTCATACTCCGTAATTATTTGATGTGGATCAGCTTGAACATAGACAGCTGTCATATTCCGTAATTCATTGATGTGTGTTAGGTTTTAAACCTACTTTGTGCTATAGAATTTAGAATAACTTAGATGCAAAAACCTCATCTCTTATTCACTCTCAAAAGAATAATCTTTCACAAGAACAAAATAAAGATCACAAGTAAAAAACCACAAGCAAAATCTATCTTTATTGTTAATCTCTCTTGGTCTCTCTTTATCACGGTATTGCTCTCGTCTCTTTCTTAATCGGGATGGCTTGTTACTCACCGCACAACTCCTATATATAACCCAAGACCTAAGTTCCTAATTCTTATAGAATTATGTTAAACTTCCTATTTCTATTTGTCATCGTATAAACTTTACCGACATTACTTCAATCTTTTGTGTGTAGGAATTCTATATGGGCCGGAAGTGGGATTGGGCCCATCTTTATCACAATCTCCACCTTGGGCCCAACTCCCTATTCTCTTGCGTCTTCTTCTCCAAACGTTCGTCGTCTTCATCGTCAACGTTTCTCACTTGGAAGCAAACCCAGAATAAGCATGCCTTTCTTGTGCGAGGTGTATCGATAATAAAATTACCTGTGACGCTTTTCTCCATTTAGTGGACAATAAGAAGTTCACAGCAACGCTGCAACTTCTGATTAGGTGCGCTTTCTTTTAACTGCTCTAGATTGTTAGTCGTAGTATGTATCTTGTTTGATACATCTTCCTTCTCTACTTCTGTAATGATGAGTTGATTCGTGCATCACTGACTTCGAACTCAAACCCTGTAGTTGATGCTTCCTCATCTAAGTTCATTGCATAATCTGAGTTTGAAAAACTTTCAATGCAAAACTCTAAATCCCTCTTGAATCCATCAAGCCTTTGATTTTTCTTTGATGATGGTTTATCATTACTCTTTTCTTCGTCCTTTGAAATACAACAATCATCTAGAGACTTTCCATTATCAGCTTCATCTCTTGACTCAAATTTTTCTATTGAAAAAGAGTCTCCACCTTGAGCTGATGACGTTTCTGTCCTAAATTCATATGGACTTGGTCCCTGAATCAGATTCTCACTAAAAGATACCTTGAACTTCTTTCGTTTCACTTGCTTTTCAACTTTTGGAGTATCCACTTTATTCTTCACAACCATTCCTTGAAGAAAGTACAACCCATCTTTGTATTTTCCTGAAATTACTTTCTTCTTACCTTTGTAGAACTGAACCTTGAAGCTGCATCCTACGTACCTGCCACCTGATTTTTCTGGCATCCCATAAGAAATCAGATTCCTACTCACTTCTGGCATGTATTTAACATCCTTGAGTATCACTTTAGAACCATCTGGATTCTGAATCTGAATCTTCCTCGTTCCTTTGATGCTACCTCTAGTGTTATTAGCCATTAATACACTTCCCCCGTCGTACTCCTTGAAATCAAATAAGACTTCTTTGTCAGGTGTACTATGGAATGAACAACCCAAATCCATGATCCATTCCTTGCGTGTATCTCGATTGCTAACAGTCAACACTAATGGCTGTACAGGCTCCCTTGTAAAATTTTCAGAATTTGGACGTCTTCTTCTTTCAGGACATTCCCGCTTCCAGTGATCTTCTTTTCCACAAATAAAACAACCCGTGTTGTTCTCATCAGATTGCTGATTCGACTGAAACTTTCCTTTGCTTTTAGATCTCCCTCTCCAGTTATTACCATTCCCTGACCTCTTATGAGTTCTTCCACGTGACTCAACATACAATCCTTCGGAAGCTGGTTTACTTTTATTAAGTAATCCTTTTTGCTTAAGTTCCGCTTCTTTGGAATAAGCTGAAGTTACAACTTCGTTTACGGTAAGCGTTTCTTTCCCAGTTCCGTATTGAAGTGTGTGAACCAATTGTTCATATGCTTCTGGAAGTCCCGACAATAGTTGAATTGCTTGATCTTCATCTGATATGGTAACTTTGAGACTCTCCAAGTCTGCAATTAGCTTCAGAAAAATATCCACGTTTTCTTCTATCCTCTTGTCCTCTTCCATCTTGTAGCAAGATAATTGTTTCTTTAAGTAGATTCTGTTGGGAAGAGACTTCGTTTGATAATTCTTTTCAAGGTCCTTCCACATCCCCAATGCAGTCGTTTCATGCATAATCTTCCTTAAAATATAATCACTCAAACACGCTCCCAAGAGACTTCTTACTCTGAGATCCTTATCAGCTTTCTTTTGACCAATCTTTGCATCTGATCCTTCTACTTCTTTTCCAGATTCTGTCAAGACCGTAAAATCTTCCTTAAGAACAGAAAGTAGACCTTGGATCTCCAGCTGTCCCATCATCTTGAACTTCCACATCCCGAAGTCACCTTTGCCATCAAATTTCTCCATCTCAAACTTTCCTCGAGTTGGTTCCATAAGTCGAGCTAGCACTTCCAATCAAACCTAGATTGCTCTGATACCACTTGTTAGGTTTTAAACCTACTTTGTGCTATAGAATTTAGAATAACTTGATGCAAGAACCTCATCTCTTATTCACTCTCAAAGGAATAATCTTTCACAAGAACAAAATAAAGATCACAAGTAGAAAACCACAAGCTAAACCTATCTTTATTGCTAATCTCTCTTGGTCTCTCTTTATCACCGTATTGCTCTCGTCTCTTTCTTAATCGGGATGGCTTGTTACTCACCGCACAACTCCTATATATAACCCAAGACCTAAGTTCCTAACTCTTGTAGAATTATGTTAAACTTCCTAATTCTATTTTTCATCGTATAAACTTGACCGATATTACTTCAATCTTTTGTGTGTAGGAATTCTATGTGGGCGGAAGTGGGATTGGGCCCATCTTTATCACAATGTGGATCAGCTTGAACATAGACACGATTGGCTACACTTTGACAATTAAGGTCATCAATCTGAATTCTATTCCACATGTCTTGTGTTGTTTCTTGTCACCTTTTTCATGCTCGGGTCTTAGAGTGTCTCGTTGGAGACGAGACTGTTTCTATCCTCTACCACTCAGATCAATCAAGGTGAGTAATTTTGATTCGTAGATAGACGGGTTTATGCGTTTGAAATATTATTTTGAATCAATTTGTTAAGAACTTAAATGTTGATTACATGAACATTCATTATGATAATAAAGATAAGGGTTAATTTGCTGAATAACTAAAATGGAAATGAAAATTAAGTAAGTGGGATTTGATTTTGACCTAATGTATTAATTAACATTTAAGTCAATTATTATCCAGTTCTATCCCTTTTCATGTAATCATCCAATAACTTGGTTTTATGTAGCCGAAAAAATATATGGTGAAAATTAAAACAAGAGTATTTTATTTGAAAGAAGAAAATAGAGCCACGTAACAATTTAATTTACTGATTCCTTTTTTACCTTTGGTCAGTATTGAAACACTATTATTTACAATCATATCACGTTAAAATATTCATGTTACAGATTTATTTAATATATACAATAATGAGTGGATAAAATAAAATATTTTTTTTTAAAATGTATTCTCTTTTATAGATTGCAAGTCCAAGAATGCACAAGTACATAAGTTGCAAGTTCTGGAATGTTTTATTCCATATCATCAAAATAGTGCAAAACATTATTTAACCCTTTTCCACCCTTAAATAATAAACCTTATCCCAACCTCACCCGAACCTCACCCTAACCTCTAAATACTAAATACTAAATACTAAATACTAAACCTTAATTACTAAACCCTAATCACTAAACAATAAATCCAAATCCAAATGTAACCTACAGTATATATTTATAATTTCTTAAAAAAATTAAAATCTAAAATTATATATAATATTTTGTACTATTAAACTATACTATATAATCATCTGAAACAAATAAAATAGAATAAAACCAACTCATACAAATGTAATCAAATAGTAAACTTACAAGGAAATAACCGATGGAGTGTCATTATTTATAGAATAAGAAAAATTTGTGAGGAGTCTACATTTGTGTGAGTTGGTTTATGAAATAATTTGCAGCTGATATAAGTTTTATTGTCTTGCCAAATAAATATACGACATTTTATTTCATACGTATGATTGGTCCATTTACAGCCACATAATCTATACCATTTATATACATATTGCACCATTATATATAAATGAAAAATAAATTCACTTGTTGGCTTAAATCCAATTCCTTGCAACATCTCCAAATCATCCTCATCTAATGCAAGTTTGATCAGCTCTATCCACCGAAGATTGAAGTAACAATTAACCCTTTTCCTTTCAATTGGCTCAAACCCAATTTCAAACAATCTGCTTAGCATTTTCAACTCTTCCATTGCCATCGTGAGAACCCAAAATAGCAAAGACTGTCAGTTCTAGTAGAATAGAACAAACCATGGTATTTTAATATAATAGAATAAAACAAACCATGACTACGTATAAATAGGAATAGAATTCGAGTTTGACATAGAATAGAATCTGAGTTCGATATGATATAGAATTCGAGTTCGACATAGAATAAAAACCAACTTCAACAGAGAATAGAAACCGACATACATACAAGTAAACATATAGAACACAACAGACTTCATATGGTATCTACATAGAATAGAAAAAAACATACATCAAAGAAAGAAAGTACAACATAATAGAATCTGATTTAGAAGTTGAGTAGAAAACACCAAACAGAACGAATACAAATGAGTAAATGGATCTACCGGTTCCGATACACATACATGGCATAGACCATAAACCCCTCCCCCCTA